AACTAACCAATCAACCAACAATTGAATCAATCAAATCAGGCGAAATCAATCGACCTGTTCACCAACCAATAAAAATTAATTAATCAATCAATCGCGCAACAATCAACCCATCAGCAATGAAGACCCTCAATCAGACAATCAATCAATCAATCAATCAACCAATCAACCTATCAATCAAAGAAAAATGGCAGAGAAGAAAATAAAAAATTTAACCACAATCAACTGCTGTCGAAACGAACACCATAATTAGAAACCGTTGAGAGACTCATTTACGATCCCGTGTTGCAGGTGAGGAGTTCGAAAACCGCAGGCATCTTTACTTTACCTTCTCATCACTGACATGTCGTTCAAGCATGGAGCATCCATTGATCAGGCACACTCGTTGACCCACCAGTATTTGGGCCATATATGGGCCGCGACCTTTCCTGTTAACGCGCCGCAACTATCAGGGGTCCGCCAACTCCAACGCCCGGTAGCTGCAAAAGGGCGGGCAAATTCAAGTCTCTATCTATTAACTATCTATCTACTATCTACTAATTAAAAAACGGTCCGCGTAAGACGCTCTCGCCGATACGGAGAGTTGGGGATTTATGGGACCAGGAGGCAAAGAGCTGGAAGAGCACGGGGCAGATGCGAGTATGGCTGCGGTACTGCCATCTCACAGAAAACGCACTAAACGAACTCATTGATAGTTTTCCCCTCCACTGGTACACCACCCTCAGAAAAAGCCCCTGCATTAAAGAGGGAGATTGGGTGGGGCTGCCCGATCATAACATGGAAGTGGGGCGGGTGCACCTGACGGATCTAACCCAGGTACTCGTAGAGATCTTTTCCATACAGAAGAACGATGAGATACAATGGAACAAACAACCCTTCGTATGGAAGGACCGAAAAGGAGTCTTTCGTATCAGGATCATCGAGGAAGGAGGTCGCCAAAAAGTGTATCGCCCAATGATCCCGATCGAGGACCTCCCCTGGACCCCGACGAGTGGAAATGGACCCAAGGTACCAGGACTGGAAAGGGGGGGGAGGACACGCGGTCACTACACAACCTTAAATCTAAGTCTGCCTACCGTATGCTCAGACCTAAAAGGGAACTGCGAGAGCGTGTGGAAGACAGATGGTACCGCCATCTTAATATCGATCGCAGTCTGCTCAAACCCATTCGTTGGTTTGCACAGTATAGCTGTAGTCCCGCAAAAATCTCTGCCCTCCAGTGACAAATAGAGCACAGATGTTTGCCTACCAACGACTGGCTGATAGACCACACCTGCCTGGAACAGCAAGGAAAGGCGCTGCCATGGTGTCGTAAATGCCTCCAGAGCTACCCTGGGAAGAGGCGGGCTGAAACGATTGAACACATCTTTCTTCAGTGCCCTGCGTCAGTACTTTTGTGGAGAACTTGGGATAGGCTCTGGAGACATATTGTACCCGGCGCGGAGTGGCCATGGGATTGGAGGGCTATACTTCTGGGGCACTACCCACAAATTCGGGGAAATACCTTTGAAGAGAACACGTTCAACCTGGGAAGAAGGAGCGTCTTATGGACCATATGGTGGAAAAGATGTATCTTGGAGATGGAAGGGGCGCGGGTAGAGGAGGGAGAAGCTATGGAACAGATCAGGACATTGTTCCAACACGGAATTGCGACCCAATGGAAGGCTGTGAAAGACAAGCTCGACCAAATGCACAACTGGGGGGACATCAACAAAAGTATTTCCTGCTTCGGCAAGAATTGGCTGGGAAGGGAAAGGGAGGGGTGGGTGGCCGAGGTAAAATGGTCTGGGGGCAATCAGCCTGAGAAGGATCCACAGGGGGAACCCGGGATAGAGATAGAAAGGGATTACAGGCTAACCTTCCATGATTGGATCAAAGTGGACCCTGGCGAATCATTGAGGGCAGCCCAGGACTTCGCTGACCCCTTCCCCCCCCACCCGCTCTCCCTGGCAGAAGCCCTGCCGCCTGCATGATCCATAGGATCTAGGTCTGCTTTTCAGCTAGACTGATACAATTGGCATCTTGTGGGCACGCTTCTCAGCGAAGTTTTTGCAGTGTTCCTTCAGTAATCCTCAGAAATTCCCAGCACTCTTCGATATTTCCTTGTATTTCTCAGCATTTCTCAGTTCAGTCTGTTTTTTGTTGATCCAGCCTTTTCAAACACATTTTATTGTAGGCGCCAGGAGGATAGTAGGTGGACGGCAGAGGCTAGGGGATGGAGGGAGATTCCACTGGTGCCCCCCGGTGGCCCCCCCCAATACCCGAACCTACTGCAGGCTAGGCACAAAAGAGCAGATTGGATATGGGACGCTGGACCCGGTTTCCAGCACAGTGGTGTCACTCCCATTGATGTACTGTTTGGCAAAGATGTAT